TTTGCACAGAGGTGCCTTTACACGAAGTAACAAGTTGAAATCGGCAGCAGTTCTTTAGGAAAAACCCTTCGCAGGAGCTTTCGGGAACTCACTTGCTCCCCAAAAAATCGTCTATTCCAACAAATATGTTCCAAAAAACCTAAGGAATATATTTCTGAAGCAGGTCCTCATTCAGTAACTTTCACGCCCACACTGCGATGAAATGAAGGGCCGAGTGGTCCGGCGGAGCCGACGAGGGGCGTCAGCCCAAAAATTCGGCTCCGCCGGCTCCCCACGAGTACGCTGACAAATGCGTCACGAGCGTCCCAGAGCGACTAGAGCTCTAAGGTGAGGCGCGCCCCAAGCCGCCGACCCTCCGACGCCGGGCCCCGAAAAACACCAAAATCCTTCAGGAGGGTGGGGGAGAGCTTTCTGGCCGGGATCCGGGTCGCTCATAAGCGTCTCCAAGAGCATTCCCCCCCCCCCCGTTTTGAGGGTACCTAAAATCGGAAAAAAGCACCGTTTTGACACATTTTTCGGACGATTTTTCGCTTTTCGAAAGTCACAAAATGCTGTAAATTACAGCATTTTTGCGTTTTAACATCTTTTGCGGGAGCCATGCAAAAACGCAGAAAATGCTGTAAATACCAATACTTTTTGGACCCAAGATGCACAAAACACCGCAAATACCAGTGTTTTTGAAAGCCAAGCAAAAAAACACTGTAAATTACAGCATTTTTGGCGTGTTAATCGCAAAAACTGCTGGTATTCACAGTGTTTTTGCAATTTCAAGAAAACGTGGAAGGCACGAAACACTGTAAATAGCGGTGTTTTGGCCACTTTTGGACGCCGAAACGCTGGTATTTATGTAGTTTTTTGCCCGTGGCGGCGCCAAACCCCTGTAAATTACAGCATTTTCTTCCCTTTCTGAACCGATTTTTTGCCTTGATGAACGGAAAAAAACGCTGGCATTTACGCGTTTCCCAAAAAATCGAAGATCGTGACGTGAACGAAACCCTGTAAATAACAGTGTTTTAGCCACTTTCGGGGACTAAAACTGTGGTATTTACGCGGGTTCTTGCCATCTGACAGCGCAAAATGCTGTAAATTACAACACTTTGTGCGCTGTTTATGTTCAATTTTTTAAACTGCGATGCTTTCACCTGTTCTTTGCCTTCTTCCACAAGAAACAATGTTGCAGATTAAAACTGGACGACAGCGTCACCCGAAAGAAAGCTGGAGGGAGGAGTCGCACAGAAGCTTTTACACACACAGGGGCTTTTACACAGAGAAGCCTTTACACAAAGGAGCTTTTTACGCACAGAAGGTTTTACACAGCGAAATCTTTACTCTAAGGAGCTTTTGCACACAAACGTCTAGGAGCCTTTACACACAGAAGCTTTTACACGAAGAAATCTTTACACAGAGGGGTTTTTACACACAGACGCGTTTGCACACAGAAGCTTATTTTACACAGAGAAGCCTTCACACAGAGGAGCTTTTACACACAAAAGCATTTACACACAGCAGGCTTTTACACACACAGGGGCTTTTACACAGAGAAATCTTTACACAAAGGAGCTTTTTACACACAGAAGGTTTTACACAGAGAAGTCTTTACTCTAGGGAGCTTTTGCACACAAATATCTAGGTGCTTTTTCACACAGAAGTTTTTACGCGAAGAAATCTTTACACAGAGGGGTTTTTACACACAGACGCATTTGCACACAGAAGCTTTTACACAGAGAAGCCTTTACACAGAGGAGCTTTTACACAAAAGCATTTGCACACAGCAAGCTTTTACACACACAACGGCTTTTACACAGAGAAGTCTTTACACAAAGGAGCTTTTTAAACACGGAAGCTTTTACACAGAGAAGTCTTTACTCTAAGGGGCTTTTTACACACAGACGCGTTTGCACACAGAAGCTTTTACACAGAGAAGCCTTCACACAGAGGGGCTTTTACACACAAAAGCATTTACACACAGCAAGCTTTTACACACACACAGGGGCTTTTACACAGAGAAGTCCTTACACAAAGGGGCTTTTTACACACAGAAGGTTTTACACAGAGAAGTCTTTACTCCAAGGAGCTTTTGCACACAAACGTCTAGGAGCTTTTTCACACAGAACTTTTTACTCGAAGACGTCTTTACACAGAGGAGTTTTTACACACAGACGCATTTGCACACAGAAGCTTTTACACAGAGAAGCCTTTACACAGAGGAGCTTTTACACACAAAAGCATTTACACACAGCAGGCTTTTACACACACAGGGGCTTTTACACAGAGAAGTCTATACACAAAGGAGCTTTTTACACACGGGAGCCTTTTGGAAGCAAATTTCGGCCTTTTGGCGGCCCCTCGGCCGGCTATTGAATTTCTCTTTCTGGGATCATTGGGAAACGGCCGTTTTTGGCCAAATCCTGGCCGGGAGCCTTTTGGAAGCAAATTTCTGCCATTTGGCGGTCCCTCGGCCGGCTATTGAATTTCTCTTCTGGGATCATTGGGAAACGGCCGTTTTTGCCCAAATCCTGGCCGGGAGCCTTTTGGAAACAAATTTCTGCCATTTGGCGGCCCCTCGGCCGGCTATTGAATTTCTCTTCTGGGATCATTGGGAAACGGCCGTTTTTGGCCAAATCCTGGCCGGGAGCCTTTTGGAAGCAAATTTCTGCCATTTGGCGGTCCCTCGGCCGGGTATTGAATTTCTCTTCTGGGATCATTGGGAAACGGCCGGTTTTGGCCAAATCCTGGCCGGGAGCCTTTTGGAAGCAAATTTCTGCCATTTGGCGGCCCCTCGGCCGGCTATTGAATTTCTCTTCTGGGATCATTGGGAAACGGCCGTTTTTGGCCAAATCCTGGCCGGGAGCCTTTTGGAAGCAAATTTCTGCCATTTGGCGGCCCCTCGGCCGGCTATTGAATTTCTCTTCTGGGATCATTGGGAAACGACCGTTTTTGCCAAAACCTGGCCGGGAGGTTTTACACAGAGAAGTCTTTACTCTAAGGAGCTTTTGCACACAAACGTCTAGGAGCCTTTGCACACAGAAGCTGTTCCCCGAAGAAGTCTTTACACAGATACATATAGCTTTCATTCACAGACGCGTTTACACACAGAATCTTTTACACAGAGAAGCGTTTACACAGAGAATTTTACACAGTGAAATCTTTACACAGGCGCGCTTTCACACAGAGAAGCTTTCACACACAGAAGCTTTTACACAGAGAAGCCTTTACACAAAGTGGTTTTTACACACAGCAACTTTTACACGCAAAAGCTTTTACACAGAGAAGCCTTCAGCCAGAGGAGCTTATACACACAAAAGCGTTTACACACAGCAAGCTTTTACACACACAGGGGCTTTTACACAAAGAAGTCCTTACACAAAGGAGCTTTTTACACACAGAAGGTTTTACACAGAGAAGTCTTTACCCTAAGGAGCTTTTGTACACAAACGTCTAGGAGCTTTTTCACACAAAACTTTTTACACGAAGAAGGCCTGACAGAGAGAGTTTTTACACACAGACGCGTTTGCACACAGAAGCTTTTACACAGAGAAGCCTTCACACAGAGGAGCTTTTACACACAAAAGCATTTACACACAGCAAGCTTTTACACACACAGGGGCTTTTACACAGAGAAGTCCTTACACAAAAGGAGCTTTTTACACACAGAAGGTTTTACACAGAGAAGTCTTTACTCCAAGGAGCTTTTGCACACAAACGTCTAGGAGCCTTTACACACAGAAGCTGTTACACAAAGAAGTCTTTACACAGATATATAGCTTTCACACACAGACGCGTGTACACACAGAGGCTTTTACACAGAGAAGCCTTTACACTTTACACAGAGAGTTTTTACACACCGAAGCTTTTACACACAGTGAAATCTTTACACAGACATTTCACACAGAGAAGCTTTCACACATAGAAGCTTTTACACAAAGAAGTCTTTACACAAAGTGGTTTTTACACACAGAAACTTTTACACACAAAAGCTTTTACACAGAGAAGTCTTTGCACAGAGGCGTCTTGACATGAAGTCACAAGTTGAAATTGGCAGCAGTTCTTCGGGAAAAACCCTTGGCAGGAGCTTTCGGGCACTCACTTGCTCCCCAAAAAAGCCGTCTATTTCCAACAAAGTTCCTGTTCTTTTTTTTTTCAAAAAACGTAAGGAATATATTTCTGAAGCAGGTCCCCATCCAAAAGCTTTCCAGCCCCCACACTGCGATGAAATGGAGGGCCGAGAAATCCGGCGGAGCCGACGAGGGGCGTTAGCCCTTAAATCCGGCCAGGGGCCCCCTGGCCGTGTCCTTGCCGAAGGCGTTTCTCTCCTCTCCGTAGGAGAGAGGGGCCGCCGCCCCTGCCGCCGACCACCCGGTAGGGCCAAAAACTGTCGCGTTTTACGGTGTTTTGTGCTCTTCCACTTTTTTCCGATTTTTCGGATCTTCTGGCTCAAGATGGGTCAACATGGGCCAACATAGGCCGCAAGATGGGCCAACATAGCCCTAAGATGGGCCAACATAGCGCCCAAGATGGGTCAAGATAGCCCCAAGATGGGCCATCATAGCTCCAAGATGGGCCAACATGGCCCCAAGATGGGCCAACATAGCCCCAACATGGGCCCACATAGCCTCAAGATGGGCCAACATAGCCCCCAAGATGGGCCGCCGACCCTCAAAATATCATGCGTTTTACAGTGTTTTTGTTGCTGTTCCCATTTTTCGGATCTTTTGGCTCCACACGGATCAACATGGGCCAACATAGGCCTCAAGATCGGCCCACGTAGCTTTCAAGATAGGCCAACATAGCCCCAAGATGGGCCCGCATTGCCCTCAAGATAGGCCAACATAGCCCCAAGATGCCACAAAATGGGCCAACATAGTTGGGCCCCTGGCCGGCTGTCGCGCGTAAGCGCTTAAATATAAATTATATCACTGCCATTGGCAGAGTGATGCCCCGTGTTGCCACACCAAGTGTTGCCACACCAAGTGTTGCCACACCAAGTGATACCAAGCGTCCAGGCAGTTTCATGTTCTTCGTCCCAAGCCGAGACAAAGGACTTCAACGAGGATAGAGCTACGGATCCTCGGTTCAAGTGGAGCAGCAACAGCAGCTCGTTGCTGGTTTCATCAACAACCATAGGTAGAAAGGAACATCAACGTGTGCGGGGGGAGAAAAAAAAAGAGACTGCCGTTTCTGTGCCAGGGTCTGACTTCGGAAAGCACCACTGGACCCTGGTGCTTGGACAGGAACAGTGCCAGCTTCTCGCATTCCTCTTTCATTCGAGTGGTGTTTGCAACATTCATCACCTCGATGGATGGCCGGAATTTCCCCCACCCCCGCAACAGAGCATTGTGTGAGAAGTACCCTCTGGTAAACTAACATAGCTATTGAAAATGGCCATCTATAGTGAGATTTTCCCATTAAACATGGTGATTTTCCATAGTTTTTTGTATGTTTACCAGAGGGTATGGCCTTCCAAGTGCCCAATGTGAGACAGGCCCTAGTGAGATCGCCAAGAAACCAGGTCATCGAGTTGATCCAGCACCATACTCATCCACGGCTCAGACGCTCCGAAACCCATGGCTGACACGTTGAAATTGAACATCTCCTGAGATGTTAAGGAGATGAGCTTGCCAATGCCAAAGAATTCTGTGGGTCAAAGCCATTGACCCACAAACGAAGCCAAAAGACCCAAAAGACCCAAAACCCAGGCCCCATATTCCAAGAAGGCCAACAGATATGATTTTGATATATTTTGATGATTCTCTTTGGGTCTCTTTTGTCAGATGTCTTCTCTCTTCTTGCAGGGATCAAGTGGCTGACAGTCTCGCAAAGGAAAAAACACGAATTAACTGAAAGTCACAGATCTCACAGTGACAAGAATTGAGGCGCAATCATACCAGTGCCCATCAAAAAAACATCCCGCAACAAGGTGAGAGCACAAAGCCAAGTTTCTGCAAAGTTTGTTGGAACATCCTCAACATTGTCAAATTTGCTGGGCTGCGTCTCTGCTGAGTTCGAGACAGGTGTATTATCTGCCTGCTTCTCCTCATGCTTCTCATGCTTCTTCATGCTTCCACGCCTCCTTCCTTCCCGTTTTGAATGGTGACTCTCTTCCCTCTTCACTTTCTCGTCCTTCTCCTTCTTGAAATGTTCCTGCAGAAGCATCGGAAGACCAAAAAACACTGGTAACAACTAGTAACTTAGTAACCACAGTTATCAACTTGCCACAGTTTGCACTGGGCACCTGAAAACATATACAGCTGCCATGCACCTCAGGGTTACACCCTCAATCCTGGACTCCCAGTTTGGCAACTTGCCAGGTGGAATGAATGAGTTCGATGCGCGGCTGATAGTCGTGTCTCATGAAAATCAAGGCCCCTCCGATGTAGTTGATCAGCAAGGCCATCGCATAGCGGCCCTTTGCCGAAAATTCGGTCATCTCCAAATCGAAGAGATCAAGCAGCGCATCTCGAAAAGCCTCTACCTCACAGCGGATGCCCAAAAATAAATAAAGTTAGCTGTCCTCCAACTAGTAAGGTGATTTTCCAAATCCATTGTTCTGTATGTTTTTAATATCGTTTAATATGTTTTTAATATGTTTCCACCGTTCTACCCGTCATCCAAACTAGCGGGGGAGTATCTGGGCTACGCGGCCGCATGCGGATGGGATCTATATGGATGAGGGCCCTAGTTATTTTACAAGGCAGCTTGCACAAGCAACTTTCTCAACGTTGATGTCAAACTCCAGGTGTCGAAAACCCATGATCTGGACGGAGTTCATCATCCTGCTCTTGCTTCCAGCATTCCTGATGACCTCCCCAAATCCCTTCACAAAGCGTTCCGCAGTGGTTGCCTTAGGACTCTTGAACATCGCTTGAAGCGAAGGGGCAGCATCAAAGATGGCGGTGAAGATGGTTTCACCTGCAGCTATTTTTGAAGGATACAAGGCCAAAAAGTTTGCCCACGTCTGCTGGGCAGCCTCCGCCAAATCCTGAGGCCTCAGCGTGCTGCAAGGGGGCCAAGGTCCTACCAGGTAAGCATAGGCACAAGAGGGAAAATGTTCTGCGAACTGTCGCACCAACACACACACACACATTTCTATGTATATCTATTTGCATATCTCTCTCCCTCTCTATCTATCTATCAATCTGTCTGTCTATCTGTCTATCTAATCCAATGAAATCCAATCTAAACCAATTAATCTAGTTCAATCCAATCCAATCCAATCTATTCCAATTTATTCCTATCTATCTATCTATCTATCTATCTATTTATCTATCTATCTATCTATCTATCTATCTATGTCTCTATCTATCTATATCTATTTGCCTCTCTATTTGCCTGTCTGTCTGTCTACCTAGGAGTACCTATCTATCTATCCATCGATCTATCTATCCATCTATCTGTCTGTCTGTCTATGTGTGTGTGTGCGTATGTCTGTATGTCCCTCCGTCTCTCATCGTGGAAATCAGACTGCTTTTTGCCTACAACTTCAAATGTTAAGCAATTCATGGCAGAACAGTGCTGCACCGTACTCCAGGTTGGCGACCAAACAGATTCAGGATTCAAATACGTGACAATTTACATAAGCATGCTTGACTTTGGGGGAAAAGTCGCAACACCAGCATTCTCACCATCCATCCAAAACATTCCAAAACCATTCTGCCATGAGGCATCTGCAACTTGTTGAAGGTCTCAGTGTTAATCTCGTTTGGAATGTCATCATCATCAATGGGCCCCAGGGGACGACCTTCTCCCAGCACGTCATCATCTCCTCAAATCAGGACCCCAAGAGCCCCTACCGTAGAAAGTAGTATATGCCACATGAGAAACGCCCCTGGAATCCCTTGGAGGTTTTGCAACTTGGATACTGCGAACTCCCGTCCTACAACAGAGTCTCTTGACTCTGCTTCGTCGTGGGTAAAGAGTTGCTCCGCCGCAGCATCTGCTGCGTCGTGAGCTGCCGCGGATGCCATGACTCTCCAACGGCAAGGGAATCATGTTGTGCAACGAGGACGAGAACTTGGAAGTCTGTTCGCTTCAAAGCATTCGTTTGGTCAATGTCTGGCTTGATTCTGGCTTGATTTACATTGGCATTGACTCGTTTTCGTTGACACGATTTGGCCACAAGTTGGGTCATGGTTCAAGTCCTGGAAGTCCTCTGTATTTGGAAACGCTGCATGGCTACGACTGGTCTTGCTCGAGTCAAAAACATACGGATTCTTGTTGCTGAGAATCCAAACCAACCAGGTCAGACCATATCAGGCATTCCCAGGCAGTTGCCAGTCCTCAATCCAATCCCCTATGTTTGTGATCTCCAATCCGCCTTCTTATCTGTGACATTTGGATTTCAACGAAGTTGGACGTCAGGTTTTGCAGATAGATGTATACATATATATATATCTCTCTCTCTGTGTGTGTGTCTGTCTGTCTGTCTGTCGGTCGGTCGGTCGGTCGGTCGGTCGGTCGGTCTGTCTGTCTGTCTGTCTGTCTGTCTGTCTGTCTGTCTGTCTATTTGTCTGTTTGTCTGTCTGTCTGCCTTCCTGCCTGCCTGCCTGGCTGCCTGCCTGGCTGCCTGGCTGCCTGCCTGCCTGCCTGTCTGTCTGTCTGTCTGTCGGTATGCATGCATGCATGCATGTACGTATGTATGTGTGCATGTGTGCCTGTGTGTGCGTGTATACATATGCATATGCATATGCACAAGTATGTGTATGTATATTCCATACCTAATCCATCAAGAACCTGACTTGGGATTCAAGGCCATCCAAATTGCTATCGTCAACATATAGGTATATACGAGCAATATAAACAATATAATATATATATATATTATATATATATTATAGTTATTCATCATTATCCATGATTATCCATCATGATCCATCCTTCATGGTATTTTTTGCCATCGTTTTTGGCCATGGCGGCCATCCCTCGATTCAGGTCACCTCCAGTTATCCGAGAGGATCGTGAGCTTCCCCCCAGAAGTCAGCCTGGAATGAAGCCTCAACTGCTGAAGAACTACTGGTGCTTGTTCATAGGATGTTTTCATGGGATGTAACTGATTTATATCATCTGATTTAGATGATTCAAATTCTTCAATAGGGATTATATAAATCCTGGATTTGAGATGCTTTAAGGGGGAACCAAACTTGATAGTCAATGGAATGGTTGAAGGGCAAATCAACGGGAAACCATGGTTGTGACATCCAAATATAAGGATAAAACTCTAGATTTTCCAACCAATTCTCTGAATTTCTGCATGGCGTTCCCAATGCTATGCAAAAATGGATTACCCTTTTTCTCAACTTCTCATGGTTGTTCAATGTCAGCGTCCTTCAGCAATCTTGAACCATCAGGATTTTCCACTCAGAACCTTTGCCATGGAAAGACATTGACACCAGGCCAAAAAGCTGCTGGAAGAAGCTTCCCGTCAACAACTCATGCTTCGATTCGGCACTCTCATCACCTGTGCCATAGCTAGGTGCCGAAACCATCAGCTGGAGCATTTTCCGAATTCAGCTGCGACACTGTGATATAATAGGACAAATTATAGTGGGGATATGATTCCTCTTTATCTACTGAAAATGTTGGATTCAAAAAATGATGAGCTCAACAGCCCCGAAAGTATCGCGGATCTTCTCAGTGCTAGTGACAAGAGTTCGGTGACTGCTTGAACATCATCCGCTGGATGCATCATGCTGAAACCCTCCCATCTTGGCGCGGTTAGCATATCCCTTCTACAGTGTCCCTTTTTTCATTTTTTTTCTGCATCTCAAAATTCAAATCTCTCCAGGTTTTTTTTTCAGAACAGGCCACTGTGGGAGTGCGCAAATTGCAGCATTTCCTGTGCAAAGATCCAACAGCATATGGCGCAACCGGACAAAATTGAATTCCATTCCTCTCTGCTGTTCATTGGCTGAATGCACTATGTCATAGCAAACATTGCTGTACTGTAGTGTGTCGACCTTGCTTCTAGTGCAACCACTGACAGTGCCTGGCAATCTCTGCTTGGCACATCTGCAATGGCTATCCACACACAAACCAAAAAACCAAAAAACCAAAAAACCAAAAAAAACAAAAAACAAAAAAACAAAAAAAAAAAAGACAAGACCCAACACTCTGCATCTGACCCCCTCCCCTTGGGGTGTGCAATCTTGGTTTTTTTGGTTTTCTTGGTTTTTTGGTTTTTTGGTTTCTTGGTTTTTTGGTTTTTTGGTTTTTGCCTGCCCGACCTCTAGTGCAACCACTGACAGTGCCTGGCAATCTCTGCTTGGCAGATCTGCAATGGCTATCCACACACAAACCAAAAAACCAAAAAAACCAAAAAACCAAACAACCCAAAAACCAAAAAACCAAAAAACAAAAAAAAACAAAAAAAACAAGATTGCACACCCCAAGGGGAGGGGGTCAGATGCAGAGTGTTGGGTCTTGTCTTTTTGGTTTTTTTGGTTTTTTGGTTTTTTGGTTTCTTGGTTTTTTGGTTTTTTTTGGTTTTTTGGTTTTTGGGGGGGGGGGGGGTTTTTTGGTTTTTTGGTTTCTTGGTTTTTTGGTTTTTTGGTTTTTTGGTTTTTGCCTGCCCGACCTCTAGTGCAACCACTGACAGTGCCTGGCAATCTCTGCTTGGCAGATCTGCAATGGCTATCCACACACAAACCAAAAAACCAAAAAAAAACAGAAAAACAAAAAACGCAAAAAACAAAAAAACAACAAAAAAAAAAAACAAAAAAAAACAAAAAAACAAAAAGACAAGACCCAACACTCTGCATCTGACCCCCTCCCCTTGGGGTGTGCAATCTTGTTTTTTTTTTGTTTTTTTTGGTTTTTTGGTTTTTTGGTTTCTTGGTTTTTTTGTTTTTGGTTTTTTTGTTTTTTGGTTTTTTGTTTTTTTGGTTTTTTGGTTTTTGCCTGCCCGACCTCTAGTGCAACCACTGACAGTGCCTGGCAATCTCTGCTTGGCACATCTGCAATGGCTATCCAAACCAAAAAACCAAAAAAACAAAAAAACAAAAAACAAAAAAAACAAAAAGACAAGACCCAACACTCTGCATCTGACCCCCTCCCCTTGGGGTGTGCAATCTTGTTTTTTTTGTTTTTTTTGGTTTTTTGGTTTTTTGGTTTTTTGGTTTCTTGGTTTTTTGGTTTTTTGGTTTTTTGGTTTTTTGGTTTTTTGGTTTGTGTGTGGATAGCCCAGACCTTGCCCATGGGTCTGAACTTTTCTTTTTTGTGTTCTCGAGGTTTTTGGCCAAACTGCAAAAAACCATGGAAAAACCAAAAAAAACAAAAAGTTCAGACCCATGTCCCCTGCCAGGCCTCTCCCAGACCTTGCCCATGGGTCTGAACTTTTTTTTTGTTTTTTCCATTGTTGTTTTGAATGTTTTTCATGTGAAGATGCTTTCATCACAGTACCTCTCAAAAAAATGCGCGTCTCTACAATTTGCACACCTGCGCCCCCCAGGCCAAACTGCAAAAAAAACAATGGAAAAACCAAAATTCATTAATGACTTATATAATGACTAATATAATGATTAATGTAATGACTTATTTTTTCAAGAATATAATGACTAATATAATGATTAATATAATGATTAATATAATGATCAATATAATGATTCATAAAATGATCAACATCATGATTATTATAATGATTAACAAAATGATTAATTTAATGATTATTAAAAATGAAGAGTTTAATGATTAATATCATGATTATTATCATGATTCATATAATGATTAATGTGATGGTTCATATAATGCCTAATGCAATGACTAATATAATGATTAATATAATGATTAATATAATGATTCATATAATGATAAATATAGTGATTCATTTCATGATTTATTTAATATCTTTTATAATGACTAAGATAATGATTAATATAATGATTTTTGTAATGGCTGATATACTTGTTAATTTATTGACTAATTTAATGATTAATATCATGATTCATATAATGATTAATAAAATGATTAATATAATGATTCATTTAATGATAAATATTATTATTATTTTCATGATTCATTTAATGACTTTTATAATGACTAGTATCATGATTATATTTTAAGAATGATTAATATAATGATTACTATTATGATGAATACAATGATTATAATATCATGAGTAAAATACTGACTAATTTAATGAGTTTATATATAATGAGTAATGTAATGATTAATAAAATGATTAATATAATGATTAATATAATGATTAATTTAATGACTAATATAATTATAAATACAATGGCTAATATAATGAATGTTAAAATGATTAGTATAATGATTGATATAATGATTAATATACTGATTAATATAATGATTAAAATAGTAATTCATATAATGACTAATATAATGATCAATATAATGATTCATAAAATGATCAACATCATGATTATTATAATGATTAATAAAATGATTAATTTAATGATTATTAAAATGAAGCGTTTAATGATTAATATCATGATTATTATCATGATTCATATAATGGTTAATGTAATGGTTCATATAATGCCTAATGCAATGACTAATATAATGATTAATATAATGATTAATATAATGATTCATATAATGATAAATATAGTGATTCATTTCATGATTTATTTAATATCTTTTATAATGACTAAGATAATGATTAATATAATGATTTTTGTAATGGCTGATATACTTGTTAACTTATTGACTAATATAATGATTAATATAACGATATATATATATATATAATGACTAATATAATGATTAATAAAATGATTAAAATAATGAATTATTTAATGACTGATATAATGATGATTCATTTTATGATTCATTTGATGATTAATATAATGATTCATAGAATGATTCATATAATGATTCATATAATGATTCATATAATGATTTATTTAATGACTTATATAATGACTAATAAAATGACTAATATAATGATTAATGTAATGACTGCATGGAAAAAAGTGCACTCCCACAGCGGCCAGCTCTCTTTTTTTTTGGGGGTGGGGTCCAAACGCGTCTCCAGCGCTGGGTTTCCAGGTCTCCCACCACATCCAACCCCCGACCTGAGAAGTGTGGCGGCTCAGGAAAGTTGATGAAGACGTGTGACCTGAGAAGCGCCAGTGATCTTTTTAGCTTGGTGGGTCCCCTATTTTCCCAAGGTCTTCCTTGCTACTCACCTGTAGTCTTGGTTTTTTTTCCTTGTACCCTTGGCTAGATCTGGCTAGATGCCCTGACCAAGGCTATATATACAAATATCTGCTATGATTTCTCTTGATTCATCATATTTATCGAATATGTTTGAATGATGATACGACTCCTGAAATTCATTTGATACAAGGTATCTGCCATGGGCCGTTTTTTTCGCTCCATATCCAGGGCACCGGGCAGCGACCCGACCTGGAGGTGTCGTGGGACGATCTCTGCTGCATCACCACGTAACAAACAAAGATTCTCCACCTGAAAAAATGGAGAAATGACTTGACATCACCAGGAAGCAGCGGAAAAACATGGAAAAACACCACCAAACGACATGCCGTGATTTCCACTGGATTTCCAGGTCATATCACCCGTATCTTTGGTGAACTCTCAATTCCCATGCCTCCATTGATCGATATTGATCCCATCAGCTGTTGAAATGGCCGGCCTCTTCAAACACCATGCGACTGAAGATATTGTGCACAAGATCGTGTCCTTGGCATCTTCGGCATCAGCAGGGGCCCAAAAGGCAAATGTCACTGCTTTTCATGTTTTTTTCCATGGGCACCTGAGAGCACACCAAATGTGGCTGGGCATACTTTGGACATCTGCACACCATCTGCACACCTTGTGCAACAAAGAGTGAGTCTTGTTTTCAATTTGTCAAAGGCACGTGAGAAATTGAGCCAAGCACCCCTGAAAAACTATGCCAAGTCGTGCCAAATCATGCCAAATCCCTCCAAAAAACTGGCTCCCCATCTCTGGCACCAAGTGTCTTAGCTCCAAGGCTATCCAATTTGCAAGTCCTTGCTCTGCTTTGGCTTGCGCAACCACCTCGGCTTTAATGATGTTCTCTAATGGGGTGCAAAAAGATAAAGGCCGGTAACCCGTACCGTTATCTATTCGATCTCTGTCAAAATATTGTGCCCCATAAAGCAATGTTGTTTTACTACGACAAACGGAGCAAAATCTGTTTGGTTTTTCCGGGTCTTGAGGATTTGCCCATACCGCCCATACCCAAAATTTTCTGAACCACCATGTTTGGCAAAAATCACCATTTTGGTTTGCTGATGTTTACTGCCCAATCAGTGATTGGGACGAACCCTCACCCTCTATGATTCAACGAACGGACACCAAGCCACCCAATCGCCGTTGCCGGAGCAGATCTCCAGTTTCACGGGCAACGATGAAGGCAGCGGAGGCTCTTGCCTGCCGCACGCACACCAAAAAAAAAAAAACCTCCCAAAATCACAAATGGCTCGTAAATCCCCGAACTAATTGGAGGATTTAATAGGAAAACCATCGACAAATGGTGGATTTTCCATTGCCATGTTTGATTACCGGAGGGGAAATATACATCAGCTGTCACTTCGACCCAGGCACCTTCGGTTTTCGAAGACTCTGCTGCAACGAAGACGCTGTGCTTTTGAGAAACTTCGTTGAAAAGTCGTGAGCGCATCCTCTGGAGACAAGCTACAACGGAGAAGCACTTCTCCTTAAAACAGCGAAGCTGCAGCTGGTTGGATTTTCTGATGGGTCAAAAACGGGGTACTAAATGGACTCACAGAATTTGGATGAAGTTGCTGTGTTTCTTACCATCCAAATTGAAGGATAGTCCACTTAAGTACTTAGTCTCGAAGAGTTGTAGGTCATCAAATGAAATGATACAGTATCAAATGTCAGCATTTTTCAAACCCCATGGCAACAATTAAAGAAAAGTCCTTGCAGTGACTACCCCCCCAAAAAAATGGTTACCTTTGACTTTGGTGCAGGGTTTTGGACTGGCTCAGGGACAAAGGAAAACTTGATATCGTTCCAGACCAATTTTCCAAGGCCAAAAGACTGAAGCAGTTCATTCACACATCGCTGCGACACCGAAGGCACAGACTCTTCCTCATCGGATGCTGATTGTGTCAAACCTGGAATCAAAGGGCCAAGCCCGGCCGGCTAGACACCGCACGGCCAAAAGTTGCACCAGTGCTTGGTCAAAGGTAACACAATGAGGCCCAAGGACATCCAGTGAAACATATTGAAACAATGACATCAAAATGCACCAAATGTATCCAGTAATCATCAATGATCCAATAGCATTCAGATATCCATATAGATCCCTCAAAAATATCGAATATAAATCAATATAATCCAATCATCGCAACCTATCGCAATCGCATCTTTTTTGAGATCACCAAGGGGCTGAAAAGGAAGGTACGACACAGGTACGGCAACAGATCCGGTGCCGCCGGTGCCGCCGGTGCCGCCGAAGCAAACTGCAAGATTCGCTGCACCTCCCGGCGCCCTTCCTCGAAGCCTTGGCGCAAACTTTTTTGAGCAGGCGATGCTCGACTGTCACATGCTCTGGTGGCTGGTTAAAATGCTGTATAATCTGTATATATATAACATATATATAACATATATATATATAACATATATATATATATAACATATATATATATATATAACATATATATATATATGTATATGCGTGCATATATATATATAGAATATTATATAATATATATCATATTATAATATATATATATATATATTATATATATATTATATATAATATATATAATATATATCATATTATATAATATATATAATATATATAATATATATAATATATATAATATATATAATATATATAATATATATAATATATATTATATATAATATATATAATATATATAATATATATAACATATATAATATATATAATATATATAATATATATAATATATATAATATATATATATAATATATATAATATATATATATAATATATTATATATATATATAATATACATAATATATTATATATATATAATATACATAATATATATAATATATATAATATATATATATATATTATATATATATAATATTATATATAATATTATATATGATATAGATAGATAGATAGATAGATAGATAGGTAGATAGATAGATAGATAGATCGATAGATAGATGACGTGATACAACATGAAGTGATATATGAAATGATTCTGGCCGTTCTTTTCCGTAAAGTTTCAGTCTCGCAAAAGTACCCCAAAGCACCGGGCTCTGACAAGGAACCCAGCTGTTGGAAAAGGCTATGACTGCCTTCACCATCTCTCGGCTCACCTTTAGCACCATAGAAGTCCTGTGCCGGGGATGGGTCTTTGAAAATTGGACCATGCTGAAACATCCACATGGTACCTATCATTCATTTTCCACCAAATTTGGAAATACCATATTAGAAATTTGGATGTCACTCACCATCCAAATTTCGGTATCTCTATATACAGGCAACCTTTCAGGACGCCAAACTGTGTGTCCTGCGCATACTGCAAAGAACGCTTGCATGTGGCCCAGCGTCCCAACATTGCAGAGCAATGGGCCAGGGACAGGTTCATGCTGGCCATAGCCGCTTTACGCTCTTGCTGAAGAGTCTCCTGAAGGCGCTTGGTGTACAGGACACCTCTTGGGAAACCGCTGATGGGTTTCTGGCATTGTGATTCATCAGCCTGTGAAGGGGGATGACGATGTTGCGATGTTGTGTTCGCCGGAATTGGTATAGCTGCATTCGCGCATGTGCACGGGACAATACACGATAAATATCGGTGAAACATAATATGGGATAGCTGTGCGTGCTTCTGCTGTCAAAGTGGCATTCATTCAGTCAACAGGAATATCCCACAGTGCCAATGTGCTATGGACAAAAAAAATACAGAATCATGCCAGTAAGCTGCACATTAGGGATCATTACAGCCTATGTTTTTTGTTTGCACGAATCTCTTCCCCTGCATGTCCTGGTTCTCTGGCTCAACTTCTGGATCATGAAAGAAGGTGCAGTTGACACCCTGGATCGCAAAACACCACATGGACTCGGGGTTCGCTAGACACGGATTGTTGCTCGATGGCTTCAGCCTACCTGATCAAACTGTTGGATAATCTGTTCAAGCAAGAATGGAACAACCAAACGGTACTTGGATGGACATATTATTTATATATTTATATATTTATATATTTATATACGTGCATATGTATATATAATATGTATAGATAGGTTATATATTATTTATTTATTTATCTATCCATCTATTTATTCATTTATATAATCTCTCTCCCTCTCCTTGTATATATACATATATATATATGTAGTATATACATACATATCATTACCCTATAGTATTCTAGGTACTTCCCAGATCTTCCCCAGCATTTCACAGCATCTTACCAGTCTTACCAAGGTCTTACCGCAATTCTTCAATTCCCAGGAACGCCATCCATATCCTCCCCATGTGCCTTGGTGCACTTCCCAGCAGCCCAGAAAATGCAGGGATCCCTTCGCAGTGGGTGCGTGGCTGGCGCCAGTGGCAGGAGCTTCGAAGTCTCTCCAGCCGTTTCAGCCTTCCTGGCCGTGGCACCTTGGGGATGCCTGGGAACCCCAGGAATGCCTTGGATGGGCCAAGGTGATTGTGTGTGTGCGTGTGTACGTCTTTCGGGTGATCACATGTCTATGTGGGTACGCTGCCTATTTATTTATTGCTATTTATTGATTTATATATATTTATATATATATATGCATGCATGTATGTGTGTGTATGTGTGTGTATGTACATATATATATATATATACAGAAAAGGACGCTGTGCGCCCGTGCGTTTTGCACTGTTTTCCTTGCAGTATTTTGCAGTGTTTTCCTCTTGCAGTGTTTTCACATCATCAAAGGGCCACAATAGGCCACAATATGCCAAAATAGGCCACAAAGGTCTAAATAAACAAAAAACAAAAAAGACCAAAAAAAACGAAAAAACCAAAAAAAACAAAAAAAACAAAGATTTCTAGAGACTGTAGGCATTGGGGGCATGTCTTTGGTTTTTTTGGTTTTTTTGGTTTTTTTGTTTTTTTTGTTTTTTTTTGTTTTTTTGGTTTTTTTGGTTTTCCGGCCTTCCCTCAGATCAATTTCTTCCTCCGGACTTCGTTGTGTCTGTTTCCACATTTCGGCATGAAGGAACCCTTCGTCAACAATAAAATTAGATTCTTAAGAGGGACCTCTCTGAACTAAAAATCAAAATTATTTTGGTTTTTTGGGTTGTCTGGGGTGGAAACCATGTTTTCTAAATTTCTTAAACAGCAAGGCCTAATTTCCGATTTTCTGGAGGTGGTGGCTCTGTTTGTGTAATTTTCTTCTGAGCAAGGAATACCACCCTCTTTTCAAAGGAATGAACAAATATAATATATTGCATCCTTTTCAAGGAAACTTGCATAAAGGCATGCTGCACTGTGGTCTCTGAAAGAGCAACTGCTTATTGAAGAATACAGTGCCCTTTCAAAATAATGCTATATTTCCTGCAAGGAACACTATACTTCTTCAAATGGCAATTCCATGCATTGCGCTTTATTACAGACACATCACCCTCTTTCAAAGGGATTGTTATATATATATATATATATATGAAAGGGTTCCCTTTTGTACAACAACTTACTGTAAATCACACCATACTCAGCCATACTCTTTCACTAGGACTGCTGTGTGTCTTGAAGGTTACTTCTCAAAGAGATGATACATACTTTTGAAAGGAATATTGTGTGTGTAACTGTATATATATATATAGTTAATAATATCATACAGTGAATTATAATATTTGAAAATTATATTGTATTTTCCAAATGAATAATATTTTTTCGAAGTAATATGACATAACACCGTTGTTTAAATCAAGATTTCATGAAACCATCAAGTACTGTCTGAAAGGAATGCCGCTTTTCTGAAAAACACTAATGTATATGCATATTTTATCATAAGGAAATGCTACCCTTCTCTAAAAGGACTACTACCTCTATGGAAGGAATTACATATATGTTCATTAAAATATATGGAAGACAGAACGCACTTGTTCTAAATGAATGCTATGCACATCTGAGGGTCTTGCTTTACACTTTCTCAAAGGAATGCTGCTCCCTCTATAGAAGAATGTTGCATAGAGGCATGCCACAACTTCCTCAAGAAATGCCACATTCTTTCAAATTTTCAACGATGACTTATGAGAAGCATGCTTTGGCCCTTAGAATCTGAGTTGATGTTGTACTAGGGTTTAATAACACATTTTTTTTCAAAGGAACAATATGCTTACCCTTGCAAAACATTCCATATCTCTTTATGTAGGGAGCTCTGTCAGGAAGATGCAGTACTGCTTGGGGACAAAACGAAATCTTCTGTCAATCAAAAGTGCTGTTTCCTCTTGTTCATGCTTGCTATAAAAACCTGCAACATAGAAGCAAACACAACCCTATCATTTGAGCATGGCGCAACAGGGCAAAATTGAATTTTCTCTCTGATATTCACTGGCTAAATGACATAGAACCGTTGATACCATTATTTAGTTTCTCGCTGTGTATGTGCAATATGTTTTGTTTCTTGTGACCCAGCTGGATGAAATTTTTGAGGTATGCATATATATATATATATATCATATAGATGAGATCTTGCAGCAACATCGCTGGTATATATATATATGATATCTTGATGCAACATCAGTGAAAAAAACGCACTCTCACAGTCCCCCGCTCTCAAAAAAATAAGTACTGTAGATCCAAGACTAAACCAGGGTTTCGTTTGGGGATTTGGGGATTGGATGATGTTTGGTGGGAATTGGCTTTGAGAATTCCCCACAGCTGGCTGGAAAATTGGAGATTGGGAGTAGGTCCAAACCCATTATCCCAGCCAAGACCATTCTGCTCATTCTTGGGATGTGTGATGCCAGAGTTTTTTTTTTGGGTGTTGACCACAACCAAATGTGAAAACCACATGATGGCCACCTTGGTTGGATGATCTTCAGCCGGAGTGTGATGAATATGTGACAAGTCATGCGATACAACCTGCAGCAATAAGAACATGTCTTAAAACTCATTATATAGGGACTTTGTCAAAAATAGTGATTTATATGGAAATTACACGGGCGTGGGGCGTCCCCCTCTCTATATATATATATATATACACATGAATGTGCGTGTATATGATTGTGTGCGTTTGTGTGTGTGTGAATATGTGATCATCTATAATAATCTATATAGATATATGATATGTTATATTATATATATATATATATGTATGTGTGTGTGTTATTTATCATATGTTATTATCTGTGATTGTCTGTGTGCGTGCATAATGTGTAATAGCTGGTCCCAACACGTCCCAACCCATCCCTGATTTTCCATTGTTCCAAGTATCCTCAGCAACTTTTTCAGATCTTTCAAACGAAGGCCCTGGCTCAGAAGTTGCGCCATGTAGCGCAAACTCGTGAACTCGGGGATAATGTGCCACTGGCTCTCCATGGTTTCGAAGACCTCCCGCGCCAACGGCACGTCACCGCGATGGAGGCAGCCTGCCGGGGAACTGGGCGACGCCTGCGATTCTGCTTTGGTTCGGGAGGTTGGTCTACCAACATCAAAAACGTCTCACAAAAGGCCCTGGTGCCGAGCACCATCGACCATAGAAATCCACATCCAAAGATGCCAGGGAAACAAGCTGATATGGTTTTATGATGTCTTTACTGCTTGGAATTATGGGTATGACCAGGGGAAACAGCTGCTCCCTGCGAGCCTCTGAAGAAAGTGTTGATGGCCCTGGTGTCAGGCCTGATATCTTCAGCAACCTCCAGTCGAGGAAAGGTGGGATCTACCGTCAGCTGATGTTTTTGTTGCTGGAAGTATGATGGGTATCCTTTGTGGGTCACAAACCTGCTTGTCCAGCTGAGTTCAGTTCGTTTGATTTGGGCCCACTTTTCTTTGAAACCGATCTGCAAAGAGGTTTCCTACACTGTGGGTGCCCCCAAATCATCCATTTCAATGATTTCTTCAATTATATATAAACCATCCATTTTGGGGGACCTTTGTCTTAGGAACCCCCCCCCAAAAAAAAAAAACATACAAAGAATATACAAAGATATAAACAGCAAATGACGGGGCACCATCTCATCCAACAAAGCTCGGGCACGATGCATGTTTCCAGCTTGACTGTAGCCGCGGAGCAGAATGGTGAAGATTCCTCCGATCAAACCAACTCAGACTCATCCTTCAGAATTGAAGCTGGCCTGTATAATGTGGCAAACTCAAAATAATAAACTAAACCCAGGATCCCAATATATCCCAATATATCCCAATATTATCATGAATGGTCAAACTCATCCCCCAACGGTTGCTGCATGAAGTCCCACATTACCTCCACCAAGCTACCCACGTTCGGCCGCACGCCTTTCTTCCGCATGGCCTTCCGCACCTTCAGCGCCCCAGAGAGATCGCCGCTGCGGACATGGACATTGATGAGGCTGGAGAAGGTGTACACGCTTGGCACCAAGCCTTCTTGCCTGAGTTGAGGTGACCGGCCATGCCCCGTATGGTCAAGGATGTCAAGGTGAAAAATCAGCTCAAAGAAGATGAATCCGGCCATCTTCAACGTGTCCAAACTACGGTGACGGTGACTACGGCAATTTGAGGCATGGGATTGGCACCACTGCACTGCGGTCAAATCCTAGAGATCTTCGAATCCCAAATGCACACCAGAATGTTTCCAGAAAGATCAAATTCATGAAATATCATGAATCATTATATTAATATCTGTAGGTAATTACTGAACAATGCAAGCTTCTTTTTTGATTCATGATCTTTCATCTTCCGTCCAATCCAGCAGTTCCAACAGTTCCATATTTCACCAGGTCACTCGAACTGTTGGAAAACCTCTTGTGCCTTCTTCAGCTGTTTTTCTCGCGCAAGGTTCGCGATTTGCTTTGTGAGGACCTTGCCGGTGCTGTCCCATGGCATGACCCAACCAAGGGCACCAAAGGGTCGTTGGGCCGTAGACATCTCGAACAACCATCCAAGCGATGCTTCTTAAATCCTTTCTCAATCACACAGATTTATAGATTAGCTCAAAAGGACTGACACCTCCAAAGTCACCCACAAAGCGGGATAATGGTCTCTTTTTTTTATATGTCAAACCCCACAAGCCACAAGAATTGCCATCTGTGGCCCCATGTTCCACTTGGGGTCACCAACCCCGCAGCCTGACCTCGGCTCGACTGGCCTTGGAGCCATCTTTGACGGTGCCTGGCAACGTGGTTGACCCGGGCCAGGGGCATACTGCGGGGCACCTCAACGCCTACGTATCGAAAAGATCAGGAAAACATTATTTTAAGATCTATCAGATCTATAAGTAGGATTCTTCATGTTCTTCCACTCATTTCCAACCCGCTTCCAACCTGCTCTTACTCCAAGCCCATCAAAGCCCCATCCACTAGGAAAAATGCAGCATCAGCACCCCTGGGCCTTTGGCACGGCCTGGCCTGGAACGCCAAACTTGGGGCATTGCTCAGCCCATGGCAGCCATGGCGTCGGCGCTTGACGCGGCGCACGCTTTGAGCATGGAAAGAAGTGCATAAATTACTGTTGAAGGGTCAATTCCAAGTCGTGCTTGCGGAACCAAGTCTGACTTGCAGCTTTTGGAGAGGCCACGATTGCTGCTGGCATCCGCTTCCTGATGCTCCTAAGAAAATGTTCACGGCGTGTGCTTGTCGCATGTTCCAACTGCTTAGGGGAATCATGGGAGCCGTTCTTCAAGCATTGACAAGGTGCCAAGTCCACTCCAATCAAGGCAACACCATGCAACACCCATGCTGAATTTGATTCTGCAACTCTGGGCTCCCCGGGTCCCCGAGCCATCCAGGGCAGCTTTCAGGTTGGCCTCTGTTTCTATCAAGCCTCAGCTCGTTCTCCCCACTTCCATTCCTAAACAAATTGGCAAATTCAAACCATGGATGGAATAAGCATAGTTTAAAGGGTTATACATCGCAAGTTATTACCATTTATTACCATGGTTAGTACATGTTAATACTCATTAGTGAACCCAACAGGGAGATGGTTCAAATCAAGCACCATTGTATGGGTCTGCTTCGAATGCCAAGCAAACGCAAAACCAACCCCACCCCCCAACACCGATTCAATCCCTTCTTTTGCAAGCTTGGGCACTGGCGATCCTCTTTGAAGGCCCAGATTGGCTACAAATCTTTGGGAGCCAATGAGCGGGTGAAACACGAGACCGGCTCAGGAAGGTTTTAAAGAATGGATCTGGCATCTTGCCAGTTCCCCTTCAGGTGGGTTTGTCTGAAAATTGAGATTACCATGGTTTGTCAGTTTGCACAAGTCCTATGGCGTATCATAAATTCCCCCCTTCAAAGTGCAAGTCCAACGAATTTGAGGGTAAGTCGGATAAGCATCACCAGTCCAAATGATAAGCTTAACGATCTCAAGGGGGCACATCACCATTTTTGGACAACCCACTGACAGAAGCTGCTCACAGAAACGCTGCCGCGTCCCCTGCCGCCGCCCCAGAGCTCACCTCCTCTTCTGGGAGATGCACAACATCTTCAAGGGGGCATAACCTCAGGGCAGCAACTCATCAAACTCATCCTTTACAGTTGACTAATGTTGATTGATGTTGATTGGAATGGGTCAAAACGGATCAAGAGGACCATAGATTTTGCTCCATGTTTTGGTGAAGCATTTGTGTATCTCCAATGCAGCTGAGCTGGCTGAAACTTGGTGTAAAGCTGGGCCCAGTCTTCGATGGACATCCAGAAAATGCCATCGTTTCCTCGGAGCACGAGGTCCAATGTGGACATGGATCAACGGGATCCGGTGGACTTCAGCCTCCGGCCCCAAACGCTGATCAGTGAAAGGGGGAAACCCATAGTCCTATGAGCTATCATATGTCATATCCCTTCTGACAAGATCTGACAAGCGCTGTAGGTTGTCCTGCATCGAAACAGGATTGTGGGTCAACGCTCTGCCCCAAGCCGAGCTTCGGTTCGTATGGATCCGGCCTTTCATCTTGGGATTCGCATTCCATTGGTCGCATCCATCACTCCAAGGGCCATTCCACTCAAGCTCACCCCAAGGATTTCGGAGCAAGATGAGTTGGATCTTGGTTTCATCGTCTTTCTCCTCCTCACCTCAGGTGTCAACTGTCGTCATTTCAGCGAGTGATGTCATGTTTGTGTCTGTATGCATTTAGTCTTGCATAGTATCCAAAATTCTTCACATACTATGTGCTATTGCCATCTACAGTAAATATTGCCAACCTCTTCCGAGAGTTGTCTTGTTTCCCTTTCGAATCCCGCAGCCATCTGTTCCAAGATTCGGACACTGGTTGCACCGTCAAACGCAATTCGCTGCAAGCAAGGCACGCACTTGGAGGATGGAATAGTAGTGCTTCACATACAGCCCCGAGTTTTTCACTTCCGCTTGATTCACGGAGTTGCCTGAAATGATGCAGGATGCTATACCGCCCTTAGTGAGGTGCTCCTGAAGGATGCCGAAGAGACTGCCCTTTGGATGGACATCTGAATTCTTCCAGCCGTACCTTGGGACCAGCACATGTGTAATGTGCATTCTCAGGGGTTGAGTCGTGGATTCTGAACTGCAGACAGGTAGCCAATTATTCAATGGATTTTTGGCCCCATTCTGCAGTTGCTTCTCACGATTCAAGAAGCATCGTCGCCAGGTTGAAGCATCATCATCGAGTTTCCAGTATGCGACAATCCTGAGCCGCGTACCAAACCCATTAACAGATATTCACAGGTTGCCAATATTTATCTCTATATATAGATATAGATATAGATATAGATATAGGTATAGGTATAGGTATAGATAGATATACGGTAACTGCATTTAAATATACGGACTTTTAAATATACGAACAGGTATTTTAGACTACCTCCGGGAAGGTTTTCCTTGGCCCGCCCGGCCATTTAAACATACGGATTCCAATTCATTTAAACATACAGTAACTACATTTAAATATATGAACTGGTACTTCATACTACCTCCGGGGCCTCGCGGTCTGGCCCGCCCTCCACATACTTAAATGTCGTTACCGTAGATATAGATATAGATATAGATAGATATAGATATTGGAATTGAAATTAGATATTAGATATCAGATATAGATATATTAGATATAGATATAGATAAAGATAAAGCTTTAGATATAGATATATGTATTATAATATTAGCGGATATGAATCTATAAAAAAATGAGGTCCTATCATGAAATCCTTTTTTTATCATCCCATTAGCCTCATAGTTTTGCGTGATCTCCGGCAGCTGAGGCGCTTGGTATAACCCGTGAAGATCTGGAAAGCCCAATCAGTCCCACCACCGGACAATGTGGCATAGCTCCTCGGGCTCAGTGCGGCCGGGGCAAATGTGCGGTGTCCATGCCTGCAGGAAACCAAACGTTCTTAAGTGTGCTTTCTCCATATCTATGTCTATATTATATGGATATTGTTAGTATATATATATATATTATATTACATATATATATATTATATATATATATATGTATAGACTGATATAGGTATAGATATAGATATAGTAATAGTAATATAGATATAGTAATTTAGATATAGTAATATAGACAAAGTAATATAGATATAGCAATATAGACTTAGCAATATAGATATAGCAATATAGATATAGTGATATAGATATAGCGATATAGATATAGCAATATAGATATATATCAATACAGGTATAGAAATATAGGCTGATATAGTAACATAGATATAGTAATTTAGATATAGTAACATAGATATAGTGATTGAGATAAACAGTAGATATAGATATTTCATGATATTTCTATATTCATGTGTGTTGTTGGATGATGCTAGTTTGCCCCAGGGAACCATCCAAAATGTCGGGTGTGTCCTGCACTTTTGCCTTTTTTCCCATCTGAGACTGGGCAGGTCAGGGATGGGAATCTGCTGGTTGCATGTTGGCTATCTGCTACCAAGAATGGTAGGGCGCGCTAAAGTATGCATACCGCAAAGCAAACAATTGTAGAGTTGACACGGTATCCCGTAGTAAACCCCCTTAATAGATGATAAACCGTCTGAATCATTTTGAATCCATTCTTATATCATCCCTATTAAGATAAACTCTGCCAAATAAAGGGGTTGAAAGTTGGAAGACTAGATTCCTCTTGAAAGTAGGTAGTGATTCTCCGGGTTTATGCTCATGATGGGGGGGGAACAGTAACTCATTCCAAAGAAATCAGCTGAGAAGCCCGCAGAACTTGGCCACCGCCTTCTCCAAGAGCAGGACCCAAATCTCTTCTCCCAGTGGTCGGGTGTAGGTTGGCACCTATCGTGCTGGTGGGAAACCAGCCGTTGAAAGACCCCTTGTGGATAGGGGTGCGGGACTTCTTCCACAGGGTATAATCTCCAAAAATCTCGAGAATGGGCACATGACTCACTAGTCAACCGGTAACTCTTGTTTGATCTTCTCATTCCAAATTGCCGATGAGGGCGCCACGCATGAAAATCCTGTTGGAACTTGACAACAGAATATGTGAATGGAGACATCCTGCTTCGGGAACCCAACAGCAGGTTCAAAATTGGGTTCACAGCACGAGGCACTGCGCGGCCACTATCAGTCGTGCAGGGAATAAACCTGACACGGGGCTGAAAGCCCGTCAGAGCTCATACATTACCAAGAATGAGAGACTGCATTCAGTACATGAAGATCATTGAGGATCAGTTTCCTGTGGTCCTTCTGCCTGCTGTGTTTCCAGCCTTCCGGTCCATCCATCTGTCCGTGCGTTGGTCCCTTGCAGCCATGGAGCTCATCAACGACCACGAGTTTCCACTCCATTGCTTCAATGTCAAAGAGCCAGACCTCGCACTGCCATGGTGGCCCCGGCAGTTGAACCACGACCACAAAATCAATCTGCTGTCCCAAAGATGTCCCAAAGCACCCGCCTCATAACGTCCATCATCTGTGATTTCCTTCGTCTTAAAGAGTTTCTTGATGTGCTTGGGATGCTCCGCCAAACACGACATGGCGCTCAGTAACCTCGGGAAAGTATGTAATTTCCGGCCTCTTGAATACCAGCACTATATATACTCAACATTAGTCAACCCCTCAGTAGCGCTGGAAACAAACACAGCCCTTGTGTTCTGAGCTTATCTGCCAGGCACACGCTCTTTAAAAAAAACAATAAAAATACACCAGTCTGCACATAAAAGCATGCCAACTGGGCCCGATCGCAGAAGACAATTAGAATTACAGAAGAATCTGAATGCTGCCTGCTGCAAAGTGATGAGTCTCGTTACATGTCAAAAGTCAACCACCAGGTAACCACCAAAAATAAACACCAAAAGTATCAGCAACTATCAACAACAGTCCCAAAACGACCTAAGCAAAGTTGGGAGGACCAGCAGTCGCCCAGCCTGCCTTGCTGCACATCCTGTGCCTGGACCTTGTCAAATAGCAAGACTTCAGCGGGATCTCCCAGACTTCGAGCCTGCACCCAAACCTTAGGGACTGACTCTGGGAATTCGGTGGAAAGTTGTGACAGTTTCAGATTCTTGGAATTTCTTTGGAAAGAAATGCAGCTGCCACATTTGACTAGACCTCTATAGAAGGTGGATGAGAAAGGAGACATGATATGATGTCCGATGTCCTGACATTTTTCTCACCTGCCTTCGGGCAAGACAGGGAGAAACAAGCAGAGAAGCAAACAAACTGGAGTGCTAGGACAAGCTCGTGGCTTCTGAAGCTGCCGTTTCTACATCCTGGATTCTTTGGGTAAGGACGGCTTCCAGCTTTGCTAATGAGATCGCAATGCATTAGACTTTTTGCAAAAGGATGCGGCGAAAGGCCACTGAGCAAAGCTGCAAATCATGAAGCAAACAGGCAACATCTGGAAGACTCATGCTATATTCGCTCGAGTTCACACCAATGCTAGAAGCTTCGTCAGGAAATTCTGGGTCCTTGGAAGGCTTCGATTTGGCTGTTGGAACTTGGATCCAATTGTGGACCCAAAAGTTGGATGGCCAACGTCCCTGCTAATTCCAGCTACCAGTAACACAGGGATTTCCATCTAATTTCGTTGCTTGTACGAGTATGTTGCACAGTAAGCTACATATATATATTTTTTTTTTGATATTGATATTGAAATTGATATTGTGGTTGCCCACAAAGGTAGCAGAACCCCCAACCGAATCACCTGGGGACCTCCGGATCCCTTTCTCCAAACACGCAACTGCCCGTCCACGAGCACCAAGTTTTCTATGGCTGGCCACAGCGCGAAAGTCGAAAGTCTCAATCGGGCCTGCCAAAGCCCTCAACCGGGCTACCCTCAGCCGCACACTGGAGGATTCATAGATGTTTGGACCGGACTGGATATTCATGCCCCTGACAACGCATTGTCCTAGAATGTTCCAAGGTGGGCACCAATGAAGGATCAAGAGTTGGCACAAAAATCACACTCCTAAAAAGTTCTATAATTAAAGAGGTAGCAAAACTGCATCTGGATTGACATCTGTGGTGACGTCATCTTGGCTGAATTCTCCCTGGCCGCCGAAGATTCAAAGCATTCTGGTGTCTTCGCACCAGAAATGACGCTTCTTAGATTCTAAGGATCCTGGCAAAAACATGCAGAGCTGTCTCTGGAACGCTGCTTTGCTGATACCATTGCTAGCGCACACGCTTATCAGCTCGTCGTTTCAAGATTTCATCCACGTCATGCAGGATGCACTTGCCATGATGTAAAAAAGATCGTAAGACTGAAGTGTCCATGTCTTTCGTGAGAGAGCATCAGCCATCTGTGCTGCGCTATGGACCCACTTAACGATAACCCCTTCATTTAACCGATCTTTGATAATAAGAGCTTCAAGAAGTGTGTGATACCCGGAGCACTGAGGTATCGATGTCTTCTGCAACAGATCGTACAGACTTTTACAGTCTACCACAGCGTAAGCGACAGGAAGCGATTTCAGGGTAGTTTCAGTATTCTTCCAAGGAATTGACGGATTCAGAATCCAGGCCCAGTGCATACGTGTCCAGCTCAAGAGGCCCAGAGCTCCCGAAAGAGCGTAGGTTTCTGAGGCTAAGGTACTGGAGACTACCCTTGTGATCTTCTTGGAAAACCAAACTAATGGGCTAACCTGAGAGGCTTTGACTTGATCTACATCATCCGTGGTGGCTAAAATGAGGCAACCTTTCTGTGAATTGGCTTCCTCGCGGGTGGCAAAAGCTGCATCTGAAAACGACCGGAAACAAACTTTACTGGGTTCTAATCTAAGGATTGCACTTTGATTTGGGCTTCGGAAAACTTTTTGGCATCATGCACAACTTATTCCCCTGCAAGAGGTCGTTGACTGTGGCACAAGTGATTCTGGCCTGTAGCAAACTTAATCGGTATGAAAGATCCGGCCGGGTGTTGGTCGCTGAATATTGAAGACTCCCAATCAATCCACGGAGTGCCTGCAACTCTTGGGGAGTGATGGGATTATCAGGATTCTTTCTTCTTTCTCGGGGAACATCCATTGGAGGAATATCTTGAACATATTCTTGTTGGCTGAGTACAATCTCCCCACCTATTCCCTGACGCACCTGAATTCCTGTGAAAGTGAATGAACCCTGTCGCCGACTGCCAAAGGGGAATTTCTTTTCCAAAGCGGAAATTACTTGATTGAAGACGTGGTCTCCTCCACCGACTCCATCATCAACATGAATGCCGAGTACCCCATGGATTTTGGCTTCATGTTCTTTGGGGTTCTTCTTTGGCAACACAAAAAGGCATGGATCATCGAAAGGAGAAATGACAAATCCTAGGGACAGTAGGGAGTTCTTAAGTTCACAATACCACAACAATGGTGCGTTAAGGCACCTTTGAGCAGTTCACAAACTTCATTGTCTTATAGTTTCATCTTGCATCTCAACTCCTGTGGTGGTTCGATGCCAAGGATACGGGAGTCTTGACGACTGCCCCGGAGGAACGCCGTTCTAATGTCGAAAGACCTGGCCGTCCACTTGTGACTTGCGATGCACTGCAGGGCAAGCATCCTACTGTCTCTACCTAAAGTTGGTGAATCTCGAGCTAGAGAATCTATGAGGGGGTCTTCATATCCCAGTATAACAAGTCTGGCCTTGGCTTTTCTGACACTACCGGTCTCTTTTTGTTCGATTTCATCAAGAGGTTTCCACGACAGTACCCACTGTGAACGGAGAAGTTGTCCCTCGGGGACTTGGTTCCTTAGGATTTTCCTGACTGTGTGGTGGCTAACCATGATTCCAATTCTTTGTCTTTGGCCTTGGAGAAAAGTTTTTGATCGGCTGGACTAAGATCTTTGATCTCCACCTCTACTTTCTGCTTTTTGGCTGCTGAGGCTAAATAATTTTCTTGATAGTCATAAGTTTTCCCAAGACATTTTTGAAAGTCATCAAGCGTCAAACAGATTTCGGCTGTTATACATTTTTGGTTTTCGGCTGATTCACCTAAGCTTACAAAACAGGGATTATCCGCCAAAGGCTCCTTGAGTTGAAACTTAGTGGTACCAGTCCATGGCTCCGGCTGCACACTGTGGGCTTGGACATTGTCTTGCCAGCTTTCATCGCGACAAAAGCAACCTCCGGACGCAAAAGTTCCCTCAGTGATTCTGATGTTCATGATCTGCTGGCTCTCCACTGGACATTCCCAAACGTCTGATGGGGAAAAAATCGTAACCGTGGTGCAATGTGATGGCGAATCAAAAGGTTCCCCCTGCTTTCCCAATAGTCATGCTTGTGATCTATTGTTACCAAATCATCCTTAGAGTCTTCTGGAACCGGGGCTTCGATTGCAGGATCTGGTTGATTCCCCTCATGAGTGGTTGGAACTGTAAGATCACCTTGCTGGCACCCTAGTTCATCATCGGGTTGCTAGTGAGGGTAGTGGCTGATGATTGTTAGGTGACTATAGGTGACTGGTTACTGTTATTGTTATGTTGGATTATTATTTCACGTTCAGGATTACTCTGGGTGGGATTATATAATGGTATTTGAATGAGTTTGGGTTTCAGGTCGGCTTCTGGTGCCGTCTTGGGATGAAAGTACTCGGAATTGGAAAACACCAGTTCCACTGCGCTCGGGAAGTTGAAACGTCTGGAGATCTTGCATTGAAATGCCCCTGGCCTCATCTTCGGATAACCTGCGTACATGTTCTGGGGCACATCAGAAAAGTCTTGTTAAGTGGCTCACCCAAACAAGATTTGGACCTTCTGTCATGATGATTTCCGCCGGCCCATGCCAAGCTCCATCATTTACCCCTTTTCCGGCACGCCAGTATATGATCATGTCTCCCACCTGAAAGTGGTTTCTGTCGGGTCTAGTTCGGGAGTGCAAAGCTTTCCGCAAGGCTGAGCTGCGGTCAGCTCGCACGAAGGCTACACGTGCTGATTCCCTTCGGGCCATCATTTCATGAAACGCTTGCTGTCAGTGGTCTCATTCAGTTCAGAAAAACTGGCACTGGCACTGTCAAGGAAAGGATTGGAGTTGGCACCTGGGAATGGTCTCATCTTTCCTAGTACCCAGAGTTCTGGAGAGTATCCGGCATACCTTGACATCGCGTTCTTAGCATTGCAAGGTGGATCAAGCACTGCTCAAAGTCTTCGGGCGTTTGGATCGGATGATCAGCATGATATTTTGTTATCATGTGTTTCAGCACTGCACCATTTCGCTCAGCACGGCCAAGTTGCGCATGTGCTTCAGTGGGTATTACATTACTAGACATGAAATTCTCCTTGAGGAATTGGGCAAACCGTTCACTGTTGGCTTCTGTGGCACTGTCAAACATCATAGATTTCGGGGGACCTGCCCACCTCAGCCAGGCTCTATTGAAGGCCTCGATCAAACCCTCGGTGGTCTGTTGTTGATAGGGCACTGCAATGTGAAAATTGGTGGCTGAAACTATGAAGTGATAGAACCCATGTTTGTTTCCCCGGTTGTCTTCCCATTCGGCTGAATGAAATGATCTATGATCATTGAAATCTCGGGGCTCTGCAACGTGGCTGGGTCG